CACGTGTGTTGTTGTTTTTTTTTTTTTTTTTATGGGGGCCCACCAGTTGGTTCATGTTGTTGCAACTCCTCATGAAACTTGGTTTTGTCCAGAGAACCTTAACCCTAATAATAGTTTCCATGTTCTTTTCCATTATCCCTGAATTATACCCCTATAATTACACTTGCAATTATTACTACTATAAAGCCCGGAACCCGATACCGCGGCCTCCGCAAGTGCAAAGAGCCTTCTCAATTCCTTCACCTCCTCACTCTCGCCTACCTAGGAGAGGTTGCTTTTCCCTCGTTCAAGCCTTACATGGCGTTCGCGGCGGTTTAGGGTTTACCCTTCCCAAAACAAGACAGAAAAGCTGGTCTTTACAGGGTCCCCATGCCAGCTGGGTTTGGGCACCCTTGCATAGCTAAAGCAGGAAGCAAGGCAGCAATGGCCAGGGTTTAGTTGAGGGATGAGGGCGTAGCCATTAGGGTCAGGATTTTTCTCCTTCCCAAGCAAGACTGACTTGGCCAGAGCAAGCACAGAAACGCAGCTACGATTCGCTACAGTGGGCTTGAGGACCACTACCTTTAATGGGGCTGCTGCACATTAGCTCAGGGCATTCAGGTTTCAGGGCTTTACACCGATTCTGCAGGGAACGCAGAATGATGTGGGTGGATTCTATCGGCCGTGGGGAGCACGCACGGAGGCACGTTGGTATAGAATTTTCTAGCAAACACGTTCCATTACGAGAGAAAGTTTATGATTTCGGGTGCTTTGCTGGAACGTCTTGATTCTAACGACTCCCTCATCCTTAGTAAGAATTATACCTATAGTCACTATAGGCGATATGGGTATACTGTAACCTGGCTACAACTTGAGTCTGGCACTACCTGGCCCGAAGCCCAGTATGCGTTTAATGTCTTCCATTTTATTCTTTATTGTTGGGGCAATATAATCTTACATATCCCTATAAAATCTTTATATAGTAATCCAATTAGGCCTAGACCGACATGGCAATGACTGAGCGACAGCCAAAGCTGAAGCTCAGCTCCCCACTCCGGCGATCTCTGCGAACTCCTGGCCGCAGCCAGACTTCGGGTTTATCTACACATCACATGAGCTATAGTCTGAACTCCTAGTATCCCTCTTAATAACCTCTGTCATCCTCCCTTACATAATCCACTAAATAACTCCCTGAAAGGAGTTTGGACTATGGCTCACATGCCCCTGGCTCTTGACCATTAACAAACTCATATGTTTGGGAAGTTAGGGCATGTTTATTTTATTGAAGAAGCGCGAAATCAGTTCTTCCGGCCGGTAGACTTGTTGAGCCGCATGGGGCCGCATGCATTTCATGGAGCACATCCTTCTGCGCTGGGGATTCCACGCTGAAAAATGTTGAAATTCTTGACAAGACTTCTTACAAAGGGCATGAGCTGACATAAGCCATAGTCTAGACTCCTAGCATCCTCCTTAATAACCCTGTGTCAAAGAAGACACAATCGTTGCCGTCCCAAAGGGGCCGACCGGGGTTGAAGGCTTAGGCAAGAATAAGGTCCATAGTTCCGAAATTCATTCAAGGGACCTCCGGGCCTGCTAATCTTGGGAACTGTTAGCGCGAGGGCCTGAAAGTAGCACTGACTCTCAGGCTATAGTTCCCCCTTAAGTAAATAGAGTATGGCTTTGGGTATATTATCATAAGATCCCTATATATACATGTATATATATCCCATATTTATTCTACTAACGGGTGACTATACCTCCTAACTGGCGGCTAGTATGGAATGAAGAGCGGGGCATGGAGACCACTAGGACACTAGGATTATGCCCGGGCTTCTAGAGGGATGCATTCTCCCAGTCCTTCCTTACCTTGGGCATACTTACCCTGAACCCTACACCTTGAATGAGACAGTAGCTTCTACTTCGGTGGTCCTTTCCATTCCTTCCCTCACCATGAACTAACGGCTGAGGCCCTAATGGCGGAATTTTGGAAGGGCCCTATACTATTGTGTGGTCTCTCTCTGTCTCTCTTTCTCCTCTCTCTCTGTGTCCCATTTTCCAGCCCTGGAGTTTGGGCATTCACAGGCCACTTACTTTCTAGGGCATGGGATGACCAAAAACCCCTTATCATCCCTCTTGACCACCCATACCTTGAATAGAATACTATCCCCAATATAACCCCTATATAACCCCAGTTTCCATTTCATTTTCCATTTTCTTTTCCATATATAACCCCAGTTTCCATTTCATTTTCCATTTTCTTTTCCATTTGATTCTCCATTATTGGGGTAATATTCCCAGGTCGCCTCCAGCGTTTTTGCTCCCGTAGCAGCGACGATGGTCTCCCCAACTTCGGCACTCAGGCCTACCTGGGGGTTCCAAAATGTGGGACCAATCTTGGGGTGTCAAGATAGGAAAGACCGTAGTATTGGCAGCACGCGCAAAGAGACTCATAGCATGAAGCTTGCTGACACATATCAGCTTCAAAGTTCGGACTTGAAACGCAGAGGCGCCTTGTCGCTCAACTCCTTCTTTACAGCGTCGGCACCAATCTTGTCGAGCTTGTCGATGATGACACACGTTTCTGCAAACCTTACCGTGGACTTTGAACATTCACCGCGACCTCTCCTTCCAATGCCAGGACCACAGCATGGCCACATAGCTATGGGGCAACAGATCCCAGAAGAAGCTGGGCGCCCGTGCTTCTCTGTAGGGACCCCCGCGCTGGTAAGCACGGCGCCGAGAACCTCTCACATGCGAAGTTGGAGCGGGGCAGAAGGTGGAGCTGGAGGTTGGGGCTGTAAAACCTTGGGGTGCAAAGCTTGGGCTTGGGCTTAGGCACATGCGCCACCAGGACCATTACCAAAGACCTGCAGAACCCTGCGGTGACAGGCCTTGTGTTGAACATCTGGACTGACTGCTGGCGCATGATTGGACTGAAGCTTGCATAGTCTGAGCTCCACTCACAAACAAGACTTATTTGAGATGCACCCTCGTGAGCTTGGCGAGTTTAATTGGTCTTGGGATTTTGCCTGAGGAGCTTTGTAGAGTGCACCTGCGATTTATGGATCACCTCTCACGCGGCGCCTTTCGCGAGTTGATCTTCAGCCCGATATCTTTGGATGTGATGCCGACCTCACAACCCAGGAAAAGCTCACTCACGGCCAGGCAAGACTACTGCAAACATTGGTTTACAGGGGCGAGTTTGGAGATAACTTTCCCTCGCTTGACTTGTCCTTACATTTGCTCCACGAGCAAGACTGGATGGGTTCGACCCCATTCAAAACCAGAAATCAACAAGATTCGCAAACACATATCTCGGTTCGTTCTGAGTCTGGCAACCTTCTTGCAAGTACTGCACGCCCTCCTGCGCAGAGCCATCTCCCAACCCTTGTCCAACGAGTTTGATGCTTGGGGCCTTAAGCACCTTGAACAGGCCGCACGCTGCACTCCAACCCCTCCGAACTCCACCCCAAATCTCACTCCTAAAAACCCCGTTGGCACGCTGAGTGTAGCCCTTGTTCCATCTGGGGCATTGGCACTTTCAAAGAAGCTTACGACAGCCGACAAAAGCTCGGCCTCTGCTGTTACCTGCAGAGTTCCAGCTGGGGCTTCAGGCTTCAGACTCCTATCTGACCATGGTTGACACTTGGCTAGCAAAATTATGGGGATAATGGAAAAGAAAATAGAAACTACTATAATGGGGTTATATAGAGCTTACATAGGATATATATTGGGGCTATATAAGGTTTAGGGTTGCACCCCACATCAGCAATTAAGATACAGCATTGGGTTTGTGGTGTTGCTCTACGACAGGGAGGCATCCAACACCTCACATACTGCATGGAACCCAGGCAACTCAGCAACACGCATAAAGTAGGGAGTGCCTACTTGAGACAAGGGGAGCTTGGGTACTGCGCCCCCTCAGTACCAGTTGGATAATAAATATAGGTTCGGGGGTCAAACTCTACCGCTGCGTTTTTGCACATTTCACAGAATATAATCGTGTAATGCATCATTTCACTCTTTAATGGAAGGTGTCTAAGACTACCCAAGGGAAGTCCATTT